GTTCGTTATATTCACTTATTGCAAATACTCTTGGGAAAGGTATGAATCCACCTCTTATCCCCCAGCTATAGGTTAATTTATAAGACATGTATAACTAAAAAATTATCTAAAAATTATGATTTGAAATATTTTCTGGCTTTAAATAACCTGCAAAGTGTTGATAAACCGTAAAAAAACAAATCAATCAATCATAATTTTTATTTTATACAAAAATGATCAGTCCTAAGTGTGATTAAGCTAATTCTGATCTTAACTCTCTGGTTGGAAGGAAATGTGCATATAACAGAAATCAAAGGTGATAATAAGAATCTTAATCTTCTATATCTTCTACCAAATAAAAAACAATCACAATATTTGCGTGATATCAATAATACCAACAGGGAAAATGGATATCATAACTCGAAGATAAAATAATTATTATAAATGTGTTAACGTATAACACTACTTCAACATGTTAAGAAACCCATTTTTCCTGATAAATTTTAAGTCAAAGAGCATATACATTTCAACCAGCAGCAGTAAGGGAAGTACAGTCAATAAATGTTAAAAAATTCCTTGTGGCAAAAAGGCTAATATTGCCATTGCCAATAAAACAGTTTCTTCGATAGAAGAGGAATTCACCTAAGGTAAATAAAAACAATTATTTGTCTGTACACTTTAATAAAATATAAATTAATATTAACTAAAGAATGATTGTTAAATTGTCGCCATTTTATATATTTAATTTCGCGCATGCGTATAATTGTATTTAATTTTTGTCGACTGCACTGTATAGTAGGTTTAGTTGGGTATGAGAAAAGGGGCACCATGAGGCATTTCACTCGGCCAGAAATCTGGAAACGGCATGATGTACTGCTTGGTATGTGCACTGGAAGATCCAATACGAACATTTCAAAGCCGACCTGGCATAGACATGAATACAATATACAAAAACAAATAACACAGAGAGTTAGAGAAAAAACAACAATGACTGAAATTGTAATATAAGCTTTGGTAAAAAATATGATTACCGAGACATTAGGTTTATAAGTCCAAAATTCATACACTGATGTCCTCAAAGACATGCCCCAGTGAATAAAAGCGTTTGTTAAATCCAAAGTCCTGACACGTAGACTTGTGAATTCAATACATAGCTACTGTCGTGATAAACAAAGAGCCAGCTAACCTGAACAAAAATATGGAGAGTTTGGAAGATTTGAGTTAAAAGGGAGATAACTGATACTGTGCTATCCTGAAACGGCATGACACGTTAAACTAGAACAATTGACCCCGGTGGACGAAATAAAGGTTTCAGTTCGAAATTCTAATTGCCTAAAGTAGACCGGAGCGTACAACCGTCGAAACGTCGTGAAAATGGTAACAATGATGAGGACACAGTCCGACCAATTTAAATCGTGTAAATAAGAATTTAATAATGCTGAAGAAACTTTTTACCTTATTAACTATTTCCTCATACTGAAAAAGAAAAGTGAATAAATAAGTAATCGAAAAATAAAACCGACAATGTAAGCCCTGTAGAAGATACGTGCAAAATGTAAAAAAATTACAAATAAAAAAAAAAAGGGAAAAAAAACCTTCCGGCCATTAATCAAAGAAACACAAATTCGTAACATTTGGCATGTGGAATGTCCAATAAAATTTACAACTTGGAATCATCCGAATTTTAATAAATGAAGAATACATAACTTTTTCTATATTTCATCTCATTATCTTAAAACATTAATCATTCTGGGATGCTGTCAGACAATATGAGACTATTCATTTGATAATCAGTTACTGAACACGTCATCGCGGAAGCGTACAATTTCATCATTTCACTCATTTACAACCATCTTCTACAGTGGAATTCAAGAAAATATATACATTTGACTTGCAGTTATGTTTGTATCAAGCAACATTCCGTAGCAGATTACTAGAAGCTTCGGTCCGAAATATACATGCATAGAAAGAATGTATTGTGATACTTTGGCACTTAAGTCAAAAGAGTCATAACAAATCAACTTTTAGGAAAGAGACTACACCAAGAATGACTATACATTTTGGCGCGCACGGACGCACACAAACACATACAATATATTATCACAAACACACACAATATTATCATACACGTTATCAGAGAGGAGTGTGTGTATCTTTCTCACACACAATACAGACATACACAAAGTGTCTGTGAGTGCAACTGGCTGATATGAAATATCCGACTGCCGGATGTAAGTGAAAAATAACAAAGTTGCTTCAAAATTTATCGCAAAATGAAGACACGGAAAGAAATTCTGTTATTTAAATATCAGAAACCAAAAACGAAGACCTTGAAAAACACCAGAATGAAAAAATGCAAATTTATGCAATTTAACCGAAGTCAATGCTTTATACAAATAATTTAACAAAACCACGAAAAAGAAAAGAGGATAAAAAAAAACAAAATTTGGTAAATAATAAATTAACAAATATATATATATATATATATATATATATAGGTAACTACACTCGTCTCGGAAAACATTTCCCTGACGACCCGCTTAGGTGAAACCTTGGTAGGTTTGTCTTTCTCTTATATATATATATATATATAATATATATATATATATATATATATATATATATATATACACACACCGGGTGTAGATAATTGTCTAACCTAGAATCACTCAACAACACAGTTATTCAGCTAGAAAAAGAACAGGTAAATATTGTTTTGTGTCAGTCCCACCAATTCTTCCCAATTGAGCAATGATGGGAAGAGAGAAAAAGATCATTCACTTCTTCAGTATTAAAAAGAAAATCCATCTTCACCGTCCATTCAAGAAACATTAAGAGAACGATGAATAAGTTTTAAAAAGAGAGAACAGTATATAGGAAAACTGGATCAGGAGGTCACAACAGAAAGAAGGGTCGTTTCAACTTAGAGCTAAAGAAATCAATAAGAAAAGATCCAACTCAATCCGAAACACGTTGGACATGTAAGAAAGGTGTTTTCCATATGACAATCCAAAGAGCAGTGATAAAAAGACGTGAAAACAAACTTCAGCTCAGGAAGTTAAATGTTTACAGAGGGCCAAAATCATCTTGAATAAGTTGGAAAATGATGCTCAAATTATATAAGTTTAGAAGAATCCTCAACATAATGAAAAGAAAGCACTGAACGACCGTTTCGTCCAATGTTTTGACTGATCAGCAGTGCGCATCCACTACCAAGAATCGAACCCGGATGTTACGTAAGCATGATACCCACTGGACCAACGGACCTCGGTTGCAAAGTGATAACTAACTAGGCTCGATACAGCGCCGCTCACACTAAATTCCGTGGTGTAACTCGTCCAAATATACTTAACCTAACAGATTGTGCCTCCAAAAGCTATATCTTTCCCCAAGCCGCTCCCTGTAGAACATAGACGTCGGTTCAATCAAGGAAAAAAAAATTATCACACACTCACACATATAATGGATTTATTTAGAAGCTTCGTTTCAGTTATTTGATATATTTAATATTATATATATATATATATATATGAAGAAATTTGGAAAAAACAAACAAAAATCCTTAAATGCAATTAATAATCATAATTGCATTTAAGGATTTTTGTTTGTTTTTTCAAAATTTCTTCATTCTGTCGGATTTATATCCATTTACATTTGCTTATATATATATATATATATATATATATATATATATCACACACATGTAGGACAACATTTCAACCTACAAAAACACGATTTTGAAACCCATGCCAAATTCGCTATAATAGAGACAATAGAAAAGTTTAGGTGATAATATTAGAAAGACCTTAGAAGGTCATGAAGATTAGTGGATTATGCGCCTAGAAATGCTCCATACAGACTGGCTTAATCCCAAATTTAAGAACATAGATAAAAATAATATAACTTAATATAAACAAATCAGGACCTACCCACATTTCTTTCCCACACAAGTGAGACATGCTTGTGGAGATGTTGAAGCCTCACACCTATACACACACCCATAATAATATACACACTTACAAGCATTATACTCACTCACTTCCTAAGAACCAAATAACACTTAACAGAGACATATCTCCTTTCCAGGAACAAAATTGTCAAAATGACCAAAGGAATTCAGAGCAACATGAATCCATCCAACTCTTATCTTAAACAACTTCAGAGACTGTTTGACCAACATAAGAGCTGACCAAAATTCATGTTAAAAAATAATAAAACAAATGAAAACTAAAGACAAAAGTTCATTTTCTCCATCAAGTCATTCATTTCTGTAGTTCACTGCTACTAACAAGCAGAACATTTATTCTCCTGATGATGGACATGCTGGCCGAAACTAGTCGAGGAATGCAACTGAAATAATAAAAATATTAATATACAACCCAGTGTGTCTGAAGATTTTATATATATATATATATATATATATATATATATATATATATAAGCTCAATATATCTAGAAAAATGCTTCAAGTGTATTGCAATTCGATCTCCCCTCTTCTACACTCGTTCAGCTATTATTTAGGCATTTCGGTTCATTTTTATGCTTTACCGGTTAGAATAGAATCAACCAGTTATTAAAAGCTGTGCGTTATTTATCACGTAATAAAATAAATATACGACATTCCGATATAGTTCTTTATCACAGAATGTGTGTATAAATCTACCGGGAAATATTCCAAAATGAAAAGAATAAAAAGCGTCCCAATGAAATATGCCTTCAAGGTGGAAAGTTACAATCAAGACATTCGGTTGATTGTTTGTTGTTTTTCTTTAGCCGCATATCAATCTCTATGGGTCATTTAATGCCGAAATCTAAATATTTGTACGCATTTTTTGTGGTGCGGGAGATAATGGTTTTAGTGATACAACTCTTACTATTTATCCCATAGCTTGGGGGAAAGATGCGAGTTCATATCTTTCCCAAGTGTATTTGCGCGTAAGTGAATATAACAAACCAAACTAGAAGTAGTATTCGGCTCTCTGATTAACATTTCAGTGCCATTATACATTACATCCAAAATTATAGCACCTGGTATTCCCAAGCGGTCACCCAACTAGGTACTAACCAGGTTCGACTTTGCTTAACTTTGCTGATCATACGGGAACCGGAGTTGCAACGTGATTTGGTTGTAATATATTTGGAAGATTTTTTTAAAAATAAATGTTCAACTATGACTGTACATAAGAGACGCTCAAGGGAGAGGGTTAATCAGTGGGGTTGTTTATGGTAGAAGGGGAATTATGCGCAGATTATGAGGATACGTACATTATATAATGTTTGATCATAGGTTTGAAAGAATTAAACTGTAGTAATTCGGGGGTAATATTCCACCGGGAACTGGTTACAAAAAGTAGCGGTTTTTAAGAAGACGTTGTCTGAATGAAAACTTATCTGCATCTTATTCCCCTTATACCATAAACATTTATTATAACTCTGCCTTGAGTGGCTCTTCTGCACAGTCTTGTTTCAAAATTTATTTTAAAACAAGCGAATGGGGAATGGTTCACTCCTGTTTATGGCATGGCGGATGGAACTAAGAAATGTAGCTCGTCAAAAAATTTTCAATGGAAGGCGCGATAAAATAGTTTACAAGGCGGTGTTAAACCCTACTGGACGCTGTCAATACTGGTCATTACCGTGTATTCCCTCAAGGAGGCCGCATGCTTTGCGCGCCTATTGCACCTGAAACTCAACCCAGACCTCAAGGTGAACTCGTACAGATGATCCATCGCAGAAAAGATGCTGGCTACATGCTCGGGCCCCTGTAACGCTCCAGCCAGTACCTGATTCCTTTTGCTGTCCTATTTTTTACAAGAGACACATCAGGCCGGAAATGGAGTATTGCTGCTAGATATAGGCAGGAGTGCTTAGTCTTCGCTTACCAGTCTCGATAGAGTTCAAAACCTCCCCGCGTCATTGTGGGTGACGAATTATTTTCCAATCTACAATCGCTATCTCACAGACGAAATGTCCTAGGCATCTCTCTGGTCTATTGGCATTTTCCTGAAAAATGTTCAGACGAAATACATACCTTATTTCTACCAGTTCTAACTTTCATATCTAAGACGTGCCATGCGACGGACATTGTAGCAAACTAACCTAAGTTACTTCGTATTCCGTTGGTGAGATATAAGTTCTACACGAGAAACTTCTTCCTCGAGCCACCGCTAAGTGGAACCGACTCCCAAGACGATGCTATCATGATTACTGTTAAAGTCTACTGAAAAATCTTTATCTTTCCCACATATCCGCATAAACTGTGCATCGTATTCAGTAACCCTACACCTCGAGTGAATCTTGAAACTTTTAGTTGCATTATTTACATTATTCGGACTGTTATATCCTCATTGCTATATTCACAACGTTTCGGCCGGTGTACGCTCATGTCTTCTTCAGCTGATTGGAATTTCGAAACGAACACTTTTTTTTCGTCCATCGGGGTAGATGTCATGCCTCTCCCGGATGTCTGTTATTTCCCTTTAACTGAACTCTACAAGATTTCTGATGTGGCCTGGAATTGAACTAACAACTTTTTGGATCTAATCACTGGATCTAACCAACGCCTTCATCCACTGGGCCATGTGTCCTTTTACTTTTACAATGTGGAAAAAATCTTTTGTGTTTTGAAATAAGGATATCCCACAGCTTTTTGTTCCTCCTCAGTGCATACTTCTATCGGGGCGGCCATGTTTACACTGTAACTAGCAGCAAGAAAACTAGTACGATCAAGCGACCACAATAGTACCAGGTATAAAAAAAAGCAGGAGCATAGAGCAGAGTGTGAAAGATATGTTATTTGCATTATTTACCTTATTCGGACCGTTATTCGCATCTTTATTGCCATATTCACAGCGTTTCGACTTGTACGCTACAAGAACACAGTAATGCAGTATCACAGGTGGGGAGTAGAAAATCAGGAGTAGCTGACCACATATGGAAGGAGAAGGAAGATCACCGCCCCCTGTGGGATGAGGTTGAAATAATAGATAGAGAATATCACTGTAAAATACGAAAACAACACGTATGCTAGGCCACACAAATCCCCTGAGCAAACCAAGCTTAGAAATAAATAAAATATGCGTTCCATTAACAAGAATTGCTAGAGAAAAGCAATGGATAACAAAAAAATTGCAATATAAGTTCTGGTAAAAATGCAATAACAGAAAGAAATGCAATCTGAGGACTGATAAAAACGATTGCTGAGACATTAGGTTTACAAGTCCCAAAAATTCATACACATGGCCTCGTGGATAAAGACGTTGGTTAGATCCAGTGGCTAGACCCAAAGAGTTGTGGGTTCAATACCAGGTCCCAGTGACGGTGAACCAAAAATTTGGAGAGTTTAGTTAAAGGGAAATAGCAGACATCCGGAAGAGGCATGGCACGTGGAACTAGAAAAATATACCCCCCGGTGGACGTAATAAAGGATTCGATTCGAAATTCCAATCACTTGAAGGCCGGAGCGTACAACGGCCGAATCGTTGAGAATATGACAATGAGGATAACAGTCCGAATAATGTACATAATACAAGTAATTATAATACCTCATCTCAGAGATATAAACTGATACTAAAGATATGTTATGACGAAAGTGCGGATATTTTTCTTTTTACTTCCCCTTATCTCCTATGCAAAATTATTATAACTGACCGACACATTGAGTTTATTTAAGTGTCTTGTATTTCTCAATTCCACATCCTGAATTTTTCTAGTGATATTACTTTCATTTCAGTTCTTTGTTATAGCGAATGCGCGGTTAACTTGACTTACCTTGGTAGAATTGGTTACGCTAAATTTACTTTGGTTCAAAATCGTCCAGTGCTACAAAACCAAAGTATTAATATACTTATTTCTGAAAATACAGAAATTGTGGCACATGGCTAGGGGAGAAATAGGGAGGCGGCTGCTCTTCTTTAGGTACCTAGTCTTAGCTAATCCGACTCACGACCTATTCATTCATTACGATTTACTTATTCACCACAAGAACTTATCCATCACCTCTCAATCTTACATACACCAAAATACCGCATATTCGCAGCGGACCTATAAAAAGCAAAGCATTAACAAAGTCTATAATTACGTTCTTAAGTTAACTCATCAGACTGAGACATTCATATAAATACCTTGCATAGACGAGGTGTCAATCACCTGGCTGCTGATGCGAGATCTCATAAGTTGACAAGAAGCTTTGTTCTGTTGAACAGACAGTTTCGCTGGAATGTGTACGCTGCTGTACGCTCTAAGTTAAAGAATGTCGAGTGTTTTCATATAAGGAAAGAGTTAATATTACCATTAGAAATAGATAAGAAGAGATACTATACTTTGATTTCAGATCGATCATTGAAGAAAGGGGTATTTACTTTGTTCCCCAGGGCTGGGCACATCTTCAGTTGCCCCTCTGTTCTTTGACAGAGAAGCCCCTGAGCGCTTTCTGCCCAAAGACGGAGACGCAACTGAGAGAGGATAATTAAACGCGACCCTACTAAAAAAGAAAAAGGGTATTTTGAGTATCACTTCCAGTGCAGTCAAATAATGCTGAAGGTTTACTTATGAGGAAACTGCTAATATTACCATTACAATTAGAAATGTGGGCAAAGATACAACACGTTGATCACAGCCAGATGACGAGCGAGCTAAGAAAATCAACTCGAATCTAAACAGGCTGTTCAGTCAATGTCAAATTTGTCCTCATAAAGAAACGGCTAATATCGATATTAACATTTCAGCCTAGCCACAGACTTTGGGTAGCATAAACAAGAAGTTACTATTTGCTTAAATTAATGCGACAAAATATTAGTAATTGCATAGAGTCTTCCCTAAAGAGCTAAGTAAATTACAAAATGTTTCGAGAGGCGTGCATTCTAATGACAAGAAAGTCTGTATTAAAAGAAACTTACTTCAGGATCTGAGGTGGTTGACAGCTTGTGAAACCGTCCGATCTGCTTTTTTTCCCCCTCGAATTCCCGCCGCTTCCGAATTTAGGATGGAGATCACATGTCAGCAGGATCAAAGAAGACCCTAATGTAATTTTCTCAAGCTGAGACGACGTAATCCCTGCTCGATCGATTCTGTAATGTCGGGAAAACGGTCCAATACGGTAGCGTCAAATGTTCGAAATGGCTGGACGGGTCATTTGCGAAAATAAATTCTTAATTTAAAGCGAGCGAAGGATAAACGTCTGGCTTGTAATCGCCTTTGTGAAATATATATATATATATATATATATATATATATATATATATATATATATATAAAAAAATCACGCCAAGCAAGGTGGTAAGCCCACTAGTATGCAGGGTGGTGGTTACAGGGAATGAACGCGGCAGAGAAGATTGAAAATAAGGAGGATTGAGAAAAGAACAAAAAAATGACCGGGGTTCAAACTGCCAGCGGATCGCGATTAACGTTGCATTTTAATTTTTGAAGAGTGTAGTGATCAGGGAAGTAATGGAACTGAACAGATTCGTAGTTGGGAAGTGCGAAAAAAGCAACTGTTGGACTAGAAATGGTGGTTATATTTAGTTATTTCATCAGTAAAATGGTGGGACCTAGTTGCCAATCTAGTAGCACGCTTGAATGTATGTATTTGCTGCAACAAGGGAGAAAAAATCTCGTCAGAGGGTAGCCAGGTCATGTCGGTGAGAAAGTGACAGAAGTCGTGATATCTGGTTAGGATCGATTGCATTACAGATCCTTCTTTTGTCAAGAACCTTAAGATGAGTAACAGGAGCACCAAACTAGATATGTCAAGAGTACTCAATGCAAGGAGGAATGGTCAATTTATAAATGTGCAACATAGAAAGTGTTTCTCGTCAGAATCTGACAGGACAGGGCACCAGATTTCCTTGCAGTAGATACAGCTATTGATTCAATGTAGTCGCTCCACTTCCATGTCAATGGAAAGCGTGAAGCCAAGAAGGCGTACAGTGTTCTTCTCCTGGAGCTTAGCATTCTCTGTGATGGTTAAATGAAAGCGGTCTTATTTTGAAGACGTTAAAATTTACAAGCCATTTCTTGCCCCAATTGACAACTGACTGCTGAATCACACAATAAAAGATGACTTACTATATAATTAATGTATTAACAAAAAGGATATAATTTTGAAAATTAATCGTTGAGATCGATA